AGGCGGCCTCTCCCGCCTCGCAAAGCTTGGACAGTCCACGGGCGGGGGGCCGGGCTGCCCGGGCCGACCCGCCCCGAAGGCCACTTCTGAGGAGGTCGGCCATCCGCCCCTTCCTGCCGGCCACCTGCAGAGACAGTGCACCCGGAGGCTCTGTGCCCTGAAGGGCAGAGGACGCCAGCGCTGTGGGGACCTGGAAACAGCTGGGCTGGTGAGGATGCCCTCTGTGTCTGAAAACTTCCCCACAAAGCGCAGCCCTTGACAAGGAGGCTTCACTGAGTCACAGAGGTCAAGCCTCACGGGGGAACCCGGGTGTGACAGAAACCGCTGGTTCTGTGTAGATGAACCAACAGACTTCAGTAAGGTTCCCTGAGCCGGACACACACGGGATAAGGCTCTGGGCTGTTCGGCTGATGACATGTGCCCGGAGGCTCCCAGGAGCCCAGCCTCAATACCCCTTGGAAGGGTGGCTCAGCGTGTGTGTCAGTGGTCGTCGACGGAGCGGACCATCTCGAATCACCACAGCTGCCTGCGCACACCAGGAATGACCCTTGTAAGCAAGACGATGACAGAGCAAGACTTGAAGGAGATGAGAGTGGGAGCCTTGAGGGGGCTGGCAGAAGAATGTCCTAGATGCAGGAAGCAGGCACGAGCAGACTGTGAAGGCAGAAGCAGGGAGAGGAACATGGACAGGACTCGTGAGGTGGTCAAGGCAGCTGGGCAGAGACTCGTTTCTGCCCTGAGGAGCTGCCCCTGGATGAACAAACTCCCTCTAGAAGTCGGTCTCAGATGGCCGGACTTGCCACCCCGGGCCCTAGCTGAGCAGCGGGCACACCCTGGACTCTTCTCGTCAGCCCTCGAAACCAGTCACCTCGCTGGGACCTTGCCGGTGACAGTCCTTCTGGTCCTTCTGCCTCAGGCCAGACAGACCCGCTTCCAGGGAGACCTGAGTGCCCCGACCCCTCCGTCACGCCACAAACAGCACTGAACTCACAATGCACGATGGACCACAATGAAGAGCGAAAACCATAAAACTCGTGGCAAAAAAAAAATGAGGAGAAAACCTCCGAGCCCGCCTTGTGCGCCACATCTTTAAAATAAAAAGGCGAGCTGGGCTCGGTGGCTCAGCCTGTCATCCCATGCTTTGGGAGGCTGAGGTGAGTGGATGGCCTGAGCCTGCGGGTTCGAGACCCGCCTGGGCGGCGAGACCTCATCTCTACAATGAATAAAAAAAAAATCAGCCGGGCGTGGTAGTGCATGCCTGTAATTCCGGCTACTCGGAAGGCTGAGGCGGAAGGATCGCCAGAGCCCGGCAGGTCGAGGCTGCGGTGCCCGGGAGTGGCCACTGCGCTCCAGTCTGGGCGACAGAGTGAGATTCCAACTCAAAAAATAAAAAAAAATAAAAAAAAAAATAAAAAGACAGATCATATAACCACACGTAGGCACAACTTGGCTGTGAATAGGAAGGAGGCTCCGACACAGGCCACAGCATGGCCGGACCTCAAGGATGTCATGCATGAGACCCAGACACAGAAGGACACACAGTGTGTGACTCCATTTACATGAAACGTCTAGAGGAGGCCAGTCCACAGGATGTGGATTTGTGGCTACCGGGGGCTGGGGGTGATGGTAAGGGATGCTGAAAGTCTTTTGGGAGACAAGAGTGTTCTGCAGCCGGACTGTGGTGATGGCTGGTGATTTTACTAAGATCAAATCCCACAGAGCCTTCCAGAACACTCTTGCTATCGGCAGAAGGGCACCCTGCCTCAGAGAGAGGCTGAGTGTGAATTCACATCCTCCCGGTGTCCCGGCCACGGACATGGGCTGGGGGCCCAGAAAGCCTGGGCTGAGGCTGTCATGGCCGGTGAGCACCTCTGGCAGGCAGGTCCCTTCAGCCTTCCCAGGGCTGGGGTCTCCACGGAAGGGCTCGGTGTTCGCTGGTGCCAAGGGCAGCCCCATGCGGGTCCGCGCCCTGCCCGAAGCCCATCACTGGCTTTGCTGGGGTCAGGCAAGCAACACGGCCCAACAGCAGCTGGGGGAGCCAGGTCTCTGCACAGGCAGTCTCCGCACGTGACAAGCATCACGGCCACTCCCTCCTCAGCGTGCCAAGAGTGTATGGGCTGAAGTGGGTGGCTGAATTCACGCCAAGGTCCTAAGCCCCAGCATCTCGGGACGTGACAGGCTAGAGACAGGGTCTTCAAGGTCACGAAAGTTAAATGAGGTCCTATGAGTGGTCCTGATTTCGCATGACTGGGCCCTCCTAGGAAGAGACGAGGACACAGCCACCTGGAGGACCACATGGACGTGAGGACACGGGGAAGGCGGCGTCTGCAGGCCGAGGGGAGGCCTCAGACTTCCTGCCCCAGGCCCACAAGGGATGAGTGCTGACTGCCGACGCCTGTGGTGTTTGGCTGCGGCAACACCAGGACGCGGTGCGGAAGGGCGGCACGGTGCAGGAGGGCACCGCCGTCTGCGCCAGCGTCAGATGGAGAAGCCATGAGGGTGCGGAGCACGGGAATCCAGGCCCCGGCTCCAGGCCCGCTGAGCCCTGGTGAGGGCCTGCCCGGCCCAGCTGTCGGCCCGCGGCCCACACCCACACCCACACCCACCTGGGAGCAGAGCTGGTGCATCACGTGCCCGAACTCGTGGAAGTAGGTCTCCACCTCGTCGTGCTGCAGCAGGGACGGGGCGTCTGGCGTGGGCTTGGTGAAGTTGGCCACCATGGCTGCGACGGCGACCTGGCGGGTCCCGTCCTGCCGCAGGCAGCCGGGCTGCAGGCCAAAGCAGGCCGCGTGCCCGTACTTCCCTTCCCTGGGGAGGGGCGGGGTCAGGCGCCACTGGGGTCCAAGGACGTCAGGGAAGCCCCAGCTCCACGCCCTGCACCCTGCCTCTCCGACGGCTGAGACCAGCAGGCACGGGCGAGGCGCGCTGGGTGCAGGGTCCGAGGGAGCCCGTGCGGCCCCCGTGGCCCCCTCCCTCTGGAGGCCCAAGAGGCCACGGCCTTACAAAGCAGCTTCCCTCTGAGTGGCCGAGTGACAGAGGATGTGAGGGTGGCAGCCGCGTGGCCGGCAGCTACGGCGTGGCAGGTGCCACACGGACCACGGCCTGTCCCCCAGAGGCCTGTGGAGCGGGTCACAGGCTCCCTTCCCGCTCCGGATGGGAAAGCCGGCCGGGAGCCCTGGCCCCACACGCCCCCCGCCCGCCCTGCCCACACCCACCGCGGGTACAGGTCCAGGTAGAACTTGCCGACCAGCTCGCCCGAGGCCGCGTCCCGCACGGCGTACAGCCTCACGTCCTCGTGCCACGCGCCGGCGCCCTCCTCCAGGTGGAAGGTGAGTCCCAGCAGCTCCTGGTAGATGCCCAGCAGCCCGCGGGTGACCACCTGCATGGGGAAGTACTCCTTGAGCAGGTTCTGGTCCACGCGGTAGCGGGTCTCCTCCACCTGGTTCATGTAGTAGCGCATGTCCCAGGCGTGGATGCGCCCGTCGAAGGCCAGGCCCCGCCGCTCGCACTCCGCCCGCTTCAGCTCCAGGATGACGGCGCGCTCCTGCTCGCCCAGCGGCTTCAGCTTCTGCGCCAGCTCATCTGTGGGCAGAGAGGCGGCACCTGGCAGCGGGGCCCTCCGCGCACCTGGGCTCCTGCCAGGGAGGGGCAGGCCTGAGCCCCAGGCCCACGGTGGGTCCCGCCCAGCACCTCCCAGCAGCCCTCGGGGGGCTCACACCTTCATCTTCTGTGAGGAGCTGTGGCGCCTCTGGGCCTCTGGGTGGCTAACTCCTGCAGAAGCCAAAGGCCAGCCACACCGGAAGGCCACCCCAGCCTGAGGAGGAGTCGGGGGAGGGGCCGGGGGTCCTCTTCCCAGATGGAAAGGCAGGCTCTCAGAGGTCACTGAGCCCCGGGCAGCCACCACCTCCTGGGGCGGGGAGGGCTGGGTTACCTAGGAAGGCGGCCACGGCCTGGCTGGTCTTCGCCATGTTCATCTCCAGCACGTAGTCAGCGTGCGTGCTGAACCCCAGCAGGCTGGATTTCTGGGCCCGGAGCGCCACCAGCTCCTTGAGGATGGCACAGTTCTCCTGCAGTGGATGCCAGGATGCTGTCAGTCAGGGATGCTGCCCCTCTGCGGCCGGGCCAGTGTGGGCTCTCCCTGGGCGGTAGGTGCTGCCAGCTCCGGTGGGGACACCTTGTCACCCAGGGTCCGGTCCCCGGTCCCAGGGCTGGGCCCACGGCACACAGAATGCAGACCCATTCGGAGGATAGGCCCAACCAACCAGTGGACACGTGAAACCCACTGGTCATCTATAAGAAGACGGCCTGTTCATCAGCACAGATGCGCCCTCGGCAGGAAAGCCAACCACAGCCAGACAGGTGTGGGCAGAGTATGAGTCAGCACTCTGACCGCTAGCAACACCGTCCCCTCAGACCCAGACCTCAGCCTGCCCTGGCGCTCTCTCTCGGTACACCCCTCGCTCTGCCACGAGGACTCAGGCCTGGGGACCAGGATGGGACTTGGGGACAAGGACTCCCACAGGGCCCTGACCCTGCCTAGTAACCTTCTGGGTGTCCACCCGGGTTCCTGGCTCCCAGACAGTGGGCAGCCCAGCTCTGCAGGAGTGTGGCATCCACCTGGAAGGGGGCATAGCCCCACCTGGCAGGCTGCCTGCTGCAGGGCTTTGCCTTAAGTCCTGCAGGGGAGAGGCCTGGGAACCCCAGTCATCAGAAGGACCAGTGCAGTCTGTCCAAGGAAGTGGAAAACATGGGACCACGTGACCTGTACCTGGCATGTCCCCTGCTGTAGGTGTCTATGCCCCTGCACGGCCAGAAAGGGGATGGTGCAGACCTCATGCCGACGGCTCCTTTGCTGGCCGCTACAGCATCAACATGGTGTTGGCAGGGAAGACCAAGAGGCCACTCTCGCCACCCTCTCCTGCTCAAGGTGCCAAACAGGGCCAGGCATGGTAGCTCAGGCTGTAGTCCCAGCACTCTGGGAGGCTGAGGCGGGAGGATCACTTGAGGCTGGGAGTTGAAGACCAGCCTGGACAACCTAGCAAGATCTCATTTCCTTTTTTCTTTTTTTTTTGAGTCAGAGTCTCACTCTGTTGCCCAGACTGGAGTGCAGTGGCCGCTCCCGGCCACCGCAGCCTCGACCTGCTGGGCTCCGGTGATTCTTCCGCCTCAGCCTTCTAAGTAGCCGGAATTACAGGCATGCATTAACACGCCCAGCTGATTTTTTGACTTATTGTAGAGATGAGGTCTCGCCAACTTGCTCAGGCGGGTCTCGAACTCGCGGGCTCAGGCAATCCACTCACCTCAGCCTCCCAAAGCACGGGATGACAGGCTGAGTCATCGAGCCTGGCTGCAAGACCTCATTTCTACAAAATATTTAAAAAATCAACCAGGTGCGGTGGCACACGGCTGTAGTCCCAACTACTCAGGAGGCCAAGATGGGGAGATCGCCTGAGCCCAGGAGGTCGAGGACGCGGTGAGCTGTGATCATGCCACTGCACTCCAGCCTGGGCAGCAGAATGAGACCCCGACTCAAAACAAAAAGCAAAAAGATGTCAAATGGGAGAAGTGCAGGCAAAGGCCACCTGGCCACATCATGGGGGACAGGGATGCCACCACATGTCCCTATGGGAAGGCCAGTCCGAGGCCCGGCCTTCTCGCTATGGCTGGGCCACGGCACGTCTGCGGACCAGGCTCGGGTCTGGCAGGCAATGGATGGTCTGGGCTGAAAGGTGTGAGGGAGCTCGAGGAGAGAGGGCGAGCCGTGTGTGTGGTGGACGATTGAGGCAGCGGGAAGGTCAAGTGCGGACGGAGGGCCGGGGCCTGGCGCTGTGGCCCAGGGATTGGGCAGGCTGAGCCCACAGGCAGGCCTCTGCGTTCGCCAAGCCCGGCAGGCTGAGCCCTGAGACCCTCTGCGGCCCGACTCCGGTGGCTCACGTGCAGGGCGGGGGCACGGCAGGCCGGGCCCCCCGGCTCCTCACCTCCTTGCAGCGGCAGTTGAAGGCTTCCTCCACTTTCCTCCTGGTCTCGGGCACGTGGCATTTCTTCAGGAGGGGGAAGTAGTGAGGGTACTTGAGGGTGACCTTCAACCTGTCGTCCTCTGTCTTCTCCAGGGAGTTGAGGAAGTCCTCAGGGAGCCCTCCTGTAGGACAGAACCAGGGTGGCTGAGGGCATCCACGGCTGGTGGGTGACAGGGGCCGGGGCGGCCTCCACACGACATGTGAGCCTCGCACTGTCCAGTGCACCCTCGCGGGCCCTTCCGCCTTGGATGTCGGGTCCTCGTCAAGACACCTTTGGGGTCAGCAAAACTAAACTCCACTCAACCCTCCACAGCGGGGACTTCCAGGCAGCTCCACCCCTGCATGAGGGGACGGGGGCGGCGAGAAAAGAGGCTGAGCTGCTGTTCAGGGAGACCCAGGGAGCTGTGAGGGGTCAAATGAATGTCAAAGCCAAAGGTTCCCATCAAAGGTAAAAGCAGAAAGCATTAGAGGCTGGCACGGTGGCTCTCGCCTGTAATCCCAGCACTTTGGGAGGCCAAGGAGGGAGGATCACTTAAGCCCAGTGGTTCAAGACCAGCCTGGGCAACATGGTGAGACCTTGTCTCTAAAATAAATCAAAAGATGAACTGGGAGGTGGAGGCAGGAGGATCGGCTGAGCCCAGAAGGTCGAGGCTGCAGTGGCCCTGACTGTGCCACTGCACTCTGGCCTGGGCCACAAGAGTGAGGCTCCAACTCAAAAAAAGAAAGACACAGGAGCCAACTCAAAGGGGCTCCCGACAGTCAACGGGACGATCTGAGCATCGAAATAAATCCCAGTACTGGACGACAACCCCCAGGTGGCACAGGAACCTCTAAGTCCACTCGACAGAAACAATCAGCAAGTAAGTGAGAGAGGAGGGGCACACTGTCACAGCAGAACACGGGCGAGGAAGATGGCTCGGGAACCCGTCCGTGGGCACTGCGCCCACCGGGGGAAAAGGTGACGTGCCACAGGTGATGCGCAGCCCCGTCCTCGTCTGAGGATCTGTCCCCTCCAAACACAAACGGAAGTAATCCCAGTAGGTGGTTTTAAGCAGTGACTGGGTCAGAGCGCCCTGCCCCAGTAAGTGGATCAATCCACTCATGGGCCCGTGGATTAAGGGATTAATGGGTTATCCTGGGTGTGGCACTGGTGGCTTCCTAAGAAGAGGAGGAGAGCCCTGAGTCAGCCAGCTTGGCCCTGGCCATGTCACGGAGCTGCTGGGGAGCCCACGGAGGCCCCCAGGGGAAGGCCCTCCCCAGATGCAGCCCTTGACCCTGGACCTCTCAGCCTCCAGAACCAAGAACTCACCCTTTCCTTTCAAACTCCCCAGCTATGGGTGTTGTTATAGCGACAGGAAATGGACTCAAACCATCTCAACGCATCTCCCGACAAGTCACAGGTCACAAAGGGAGAGCAAGTCTCGACTCCATGGGGGGCCCGGGGGAACCTCATCCCACCCACCGTGCTGATCATCTGCGCCATGGCAGAGTTGAGGTGCCCATGGGGGAGCCAGGCTGAGACAGGGAGGCCCCTCGAGCTGGACAAGCAGGCCGGAGAGCCCCCAGGGACTGTGTGGGGACCAACGCATCTGGTGACCTACTGAGGCCAGGTCTCTGGCTGGGAAATGCGTGCTTTCAAGCCAACCATGGGCCCTGTTCCTCCTGCGTCAGGAGCTGAGTGGTGGGGCCTGCACTTAGACATGGGAGGCCTGAACAGGCGGGAAGGGCAGTCGAGCAGGGCGGGGCCTGATCTGAGTGCTTATTCAGGGAAACCTGGATCTGAGTCGTTACAGCCAAGCCACCCTCAGGACCTCAGGCAACGGGGCCCTTCCTCGCCAGCCACCTCAGAGGCACCCGCAGTTACAGTCTAGAATCGGGCCAGGTGCGGTGGCTCACACCCGTCAACCCAGCACTTTGGGAGGACAAAGTAAGAAGATTGCCTGAGCCCAGGAGTTCGAGACCAGCCTGGGCAACTTGGCGAGACCTCATCTCTGCAATAAATCAAAAAATTAAGCTGGGCTAGGTGGCTCAGCCTGCAAGCCTGCGCTTTGGGAGGCTGAGGTGAGTGGATTGCCTGAGCCCGCGGGTTCGAGACCTGCCTGGGCAACTTGGCGAGACCTCATCTCTACAATAAGTCAAAAAATTAGATGGGCGTGGTAGCGTGCGCCTGTAGTTCCAGCTACTTGGAAGGCTGAGGCAGAAGGATCGCTGGAGCCCTGCAGGTCGAGGCTGCGGTGGCCGGGAGCGGCCACTGCACTCCAGTCTGGGTGACAGAGTGAGACTCCAACTCAAAAAAAAAAAAAAAATTCAAAATATTAGGTGGGCGTGGCAGTGTACGCCTGTGATTCCAGCTACTTGGGAGGCTGAGGCGAAAGGATTGGCTGAGCCTAGCAGGTCCAGGCTATAGTGGTTGTGAGCATGCCATTGCTCTCCAGCCTGGGTGACAGAGTGAGACTTTGACTCAAAATGATGATGATAATAACATGGGTGGGATGTGAGTCTCAGAGAACATCCCAGCAAACTCACTGGTGAGGCTGAGCCTGCCCCTGCAGTGGCCCCACGTGAGCTCTGGAGTTTCTGCCAGTGCCCCAGGCATGTCCTGTCTTGATGGGAAAGACCACAGCCCGCCCCAAGGACAGATCTAGAGCTTTTGGCTCTGAGCTGCCCTGAGTGCACGTGAAGCAATCCCTTGTCCCAGGGTGGTCAGATGCAGAAGCCACCACCTCCCACCATCCCTGACATAAACCTGCGGGAGGAAGCGGCTGTCCCCAAAGCAAATCCTACCCCCGAGGGCCCACCAGGATGCAGTGTGTCCCAAGATGAATCTCGCCCCCAGGGGCCTGCCAGGATGCCGCGTGTCCTGGGACCGAGGCATCCTCTGAGTGCCCCCACCCGTGCCCGCCGCCGGCCTCCCTACCTAGCTCCTCGCGCGTGAAGGGCAGGAAGGTGGTGTCCTCGTTCAGATTCTTGTTGAAGTCTATGCACAGGAGGCTCAGCTTCTTCTTGATGCTTTTGATTTTCTGGAGGGAGAGACACAGGTGTGGGGGAGGAGCAGACCCGGGCGGTGCAGCCAAGGCTCCCACTGCGGGCCGAGGGGATTCCTCAAGCCCTGGCAGAGAAAATAAGTGAGGGGGTGAGATGGCAAGAAAGCGAACTCAGCCAGCCAGGGTGGCTGTGACCTCGGCTCCCGAGCCGTGCGGCCTCGGGCGACCACAGGTGAACTCGGCAACCATCTGTCAGGTGGGGCCTGGGCTGCGGCGTCTGCCCTCCTATCCAGACGTGACCTTCAGCGTTTAGCCTAAGTGGACGTTGTGAACAGAGATACGCTTCCATTTTTCATCTAGTTTTTGGAGGCAGTCACGTCAACCTTGGGAACGCGTGGTGCCATGAGGACCTGAACCCCGAGGGCCCCCTCGGAGGGCGAAGAGGTGACCGCTATGTGCCGAGGACCTTACTTGGGACCACGTGACACGTGAAGGGCTGGCAGCAGGACATCTCTGCTGAAAACCCCTCCCCGGGCGGGCCTGGAGCCCGGTGCTCAGTCACGCGTGCCTGTCCCTCAGTGAGACTCCACTGCTCCGGCCATCAGGACAGAGGGTGGGAGAGTGTGCCCACAGCTCTGCACAGAACGTGGGGTTCACAGGCAGGACCCTGGCTCTGGACCAGGCATGGGCTTGCTGGGTTGCTCCTGGACGAAGGCACTTCCAAGTGCTTCCTTCCCTCCCTGAGGCCTCATGCACACAGACCAGCCCTCCCAGGGAAGTCTCCAGAGACTCAGTGTGAAGACAGCATCAGCACCAGGCGCAATAGCTCATGCCTATCATCCCAGCTCTTTGGGAGGCCGAGGTGGGAGGATGGCTTGAGGCCAGGAGTTTGAGACCAGTCTGGGTAACACAGTGAGACCCCATCTCTACAAAAAATTAAAAAATAAAAAGAGCCAGCCGGGCTCGGTGGCTCACCCTGTAATACCGCGCCTTTGGGAGGCTGAGGTGAGTGGAATGTCTGAGCCTGCAGGTTCGAGACCCACCTAGGCAACTTGGCGAGACCTCATCTCTACAATAAATCAAAAAAAAAGCCGGGCTCGGTGGCTCAGCCTGTAATCCCACACCTTTGGGAGGCTGAGGTGAATGGATTGCCTGAG